ACTCAGCTTAATGTCTCTGAGATCCTTTCATGTTCTTGTGTATATCAGCAGTTTATTTTTTTCACATTGCTCAGCAACGTTCCAATGTGTGTATATATATAATGTGTATATATATATAATAATGTGTATATATATATAATAATGTGTATATATATAATAATGTGTATATATATAATAATGTGTATATATATATAATAATGTGTATATATATAATAATGTGTATATATAATAATGTGTATATATATATAATAATGTGTATATATATATAATAATGTGTATATATATAATGTATATATAATAATGTGTATATATATAATAATGTGTATATATATAAATATAAATGTGTATATATATATAATGTGTATATATATAATAATGTGTATATATATATAATAATGTGTATATATATAATAATGTGTATATATAATAATGTGTATATATAATAATGTGTATATATATAAAATAACGTGTATATATATAATAATGTGTATATATATATAATAATGTGTATATAGATAATAATGTGTATATATATATAATGTGTATATATATATAATAATGTGTATATATATAATAATGTGTATATATATAATAATGTGTATATATATATATAAAATAATGTGTATATATATATATATATAAATGTGTTCATCCACTCATCTTTCATGGGCATTTGAATTGTTAACAGTTATTGACTAATAAAAAATATTTGTGTACAAGTTATTGTGTGGAAATATGTAAACGTTAAATTCATAAGAAATTATCAACTGTTTTGTAAAATGATCGAACAATTTCAATACCCATTGGTGACATAGGATAGTTTGGGTTGTACCACATTCTAACACTTTTTTTTGGTCAGTCTTTTTAATTTTAGCTACTGTGATGGTGACTATTCCTCTGAAATCTTGACAAATGTTAGACTTTTATAACATAGTTAAATGTCCATCATATACATATTATCACTGGCATAGTTTTTTATTAAAGTGTGAGCCATAATTCATAATGGGTTGAGGCCAATATTTTCAAAAAGAAAAAGAGAATGGAAAAAATATTTAAGTATATATAAGTATTACATATAAGGCAAATATACTATTACATATAAGTATATTATTACTTATATGTAATAAGGCAAATATTCATAAAAGGAGTAAAATCATCCCTAAGATGGTAAAAAATTTGGTATGGGGATGGGGGAGTAGCTGAAATCTCATTTGGAGAGCCCAATGATTTCTGGCTCTCCAAAACCCAAGAAAATCATATTCCTTAATACTTAAATTCTATTTGGTATTATTGGCTATTACAGCATTAGCAATGAAACACACCTTAAGTGTTTGAAAATTTATGAGCTATGAAATTATGGTGACTAGATGGCTGTGACTGGAGGACATTCTCTTGACTGACTGATTTCAAAGTCATATACTGAGCGGTATCTATGTGGGCCTATTGGCTGCTGTTGGTTGCCTTATGGATAATGCCTATGCTTGGTCTTTGGTGCCTTTGTGTCTCAAGCTCTGAGAATCAAATAAGAATAATTTATATTTTGTTATTAATTCTGCAAATGTTAGTCATATCATTATTTTGTGAAATGATGAAAAAATTGGCAATATCTAAATTGATATTTATCAGCTCTATAAGTTAAAAGTTGCCTTATACTGAACAAAGTTAATAGTTAAGCTCTCTAAATATCTTTAAAGAAATTATTTTTAAAATGATTTTACTTTTGCTGGAAAAATAATGAATTTTTATAGATTATTATAATTGTATTATATATTAAGATAAATTACTACTTTGCATATATAATTTGATATATTACAATTTATGTAAGAAAATAGATTACCTTAAAAGTTTCTCAGCAAGTATGATTATAAATTTATATTAGCTGTTAAGACATTAAAATTTTTTAATTTAAACATTAACTTAAACATTTTATTTTGTCATTTAATCCTATATTGAATAAGAAAGTACTTTGTACTTCCTTTTTATGTATAAAGCCCAGAGATACATACAGTATAAAGAGGGACAGAGTATATTTATGATATTAAAATTTTAGGGGGAAAGTGATTGGGGAAAAAATGTTTGTAAAAGGATCCCTGGAGTTGTGATAATGAGAAAGCTTGAGCAGCACTGTAATTAAGGACAATATTTTTAAATGACAATCTGTTTTAATTTAATATTTATACATAACATTATATATGAAGTAATCTGGTAGTCTAATTTAAAACTCTTTAATATCGATTTGTGTGTGTATGTGTGTGTATACACACACATACACATACAATATATGTGTATACCACATACATCCTGGTTTGGAATATAAAATGTATTTCTTACTGTAGATAGTGGTTTCAAAAATACTGAAAACACATGGATGAGGAAATGAATCAGACACGGATATTAATGGTAATAATAAATCTGCCCTTTAATGACTACCTTCTGGATAGCAGACACTCTGCTAAGCATTGCGTAAGCATTCAGTACTTCATTCAATCCTCTTTACATCTTTACAGTTTATATGTAAAGAAACAGAGTTTCAGAGACATAAAACACCTACCCAATCACAAAAAATGAATGGGTGGCAAATCTGAATTCAGAATCATATATGGCTTACTCTAAGATTCAGGCTCTTTTTTCTGTAGCTTCCTGCCTCTTCATGACCTCAAATAATGTATAGGATAGTAGTTATATGAATAAGTATTTATGAAAACATAGCAAATGCTGTAAAATACATCCAGACAAATCAGTTATTTTATTTAACAAGCATTAATGTACATTGCTTAGCCGACAGCTAAGGAGTGTGATTTCCTCCTTCATCTGTAAAATAAGGCAAATGCTGCTGCTGACCTTCTGGATGAATTTTTTAAGGGTTAAATCAGACATATAATGCAGGTAAAGGGCAGAGGGCACAGGAACAGCTCAAGGTTTTTTGTGTGTTGTTAGCTGACTGCAGAGGACATAACTTCCAGGAAACACTCTCAAAATCCAGTTCCACATGTAACATTTGCAAAGCCATGTGAGGATGAGTTAATCCAGTAAGTGCTATGGGTATTCAAGAAGTAAAGGTGGCTGTGGTATTTGGAAAAGGCAAATGCAGGAGAAAGACCTTTACCTGAACTCCTGAACTCTGAGAAATGAAAAGGGCTTTGGAAAGGCAGAAAGGAAGATAGTGCCAGAATAGAAACAAGACACAGAGCAGGAAATGAGCTTGGCATTCCGGGAATCGGACTTGGTGAAACACAGACTGGGTAAATAATGGAAGACAAAACAAGAAAGCAAGCCTGACACCAGAAAACAATGGTGAGAAATCTGTGCTCAGTTCTTTGAGCAACTGAAAGTCACTGTTTCTGATGAGATGAAGGAAATGATGCCTTTTAAGCTTCATAAAACAGTGACATTATACAAAAGGAGAAAGACTTGATGCTTGAAAACTGGTATTACTATCACTGCATTAAATCAGAGACGCACAGAGGATGAGATGGCAGTGATGGAAATGAAATATAACTTTCATTTGGAACATATAACTTTAGTTTGTCTCCCCCTCCTGCAAAATAATCAATCGTGTTTAGATGAGATAGAAGAAGTAATGACAACTCTGTGATTTCAAGGCCTCAAAGAAAATAAGAAAACACTGCCATGAATAAGGTAGAAATAAAGGATTTAACAAGTCTTTTTCTTTGTACTTATACCTACAAACATAGCAATGGAAGATAGATTTAGATAAAATATTGTAAGTCAAAAATATGGTTAGATCTTCAAATATAATTATGGAAACCATGAGTATGGAGATAATGGCTAAAGCTCTCAGAATGCATGAGTCACTGAGGGTTTCTCCTCAGGACGGAGGAAGATGAACAGAACTCTCATACCTGCAGGGATGAAACTGCACATATGGCATCCTCTTTAGTTCAGGTGGTAGTAGTCTCTTGCTAGTGTCAGCATAAATTTATTCACAAATGTACGATCTTCTCTTTCTCACATAAAAGGGGACAGATCTATTTCAGTAAAACTCGGATGTCCTCCAGGTTTTCCTACACTGTCCCCAGACAAACCAGGGATCCCCCTATCATTCACACTAAGCAGAGCAGTACAAAGTGATTCAGTGGGGAAGACCATGGTTTGCATATTACATTTTCTGTTGAGTCTTTTAAAAATGGAAGGTTTTCTTAAGTTGTTTATAATATATATGTTTTTGAATCAATTTATGTGAATATTTGTGACAAATGTTGGAGTTATGCAAGTTTCATCCCTATGCACTAGATATCCTAAGGAACAAAGGGTTGCATCCCTACTTTGGGGCAGAAAGTTCTCAGGTCTTAGGTGGTAATACATATTAATTCATTATTGGCTATTCACAGGGTCAGAACACGATGCTCCATCTGAGTTCTATATGATCACATGAAGTATATGCTGCCATCTGCCCCTCCAAAAAAAATAGGATGGAAAGGAAACCTGAATAACAAATGATGGTTTGAATGTCAATTTTAAATGATATTAAGAGAAATTTTTTCAACTAATTAAGAACTATCTCACTATTCAAATCTTGCTGAAATAAGAAACATGGATATACATTTTTGTATTTGAGATTGAAGAAAGCAATTGAATGCTAATAGATATAAAACTATATTTACTTTTTGTTTTGGGCTAAAATCTTATCAAAGCTGAAATGTTTTGAGCTTTAATATAATTTATGAGTTAGCATACCTGATTTCATAAATGTTAATTAAGCTACCTCACTGATACTTTATGAGCACTGGTAGAATGTGTTTTATTCTACAGACAAACTTCTTTTATATTATGAATTACTTTGCCTATAAAATGGACTTCCCACTGATTTGTAATTTTCAGTTTATTTTCAAGGTATACTACACAAAATTTTGTCTTTGTTTTGTATTTGAAGCAGAGTATATTATAGTAAATTTCACAAAGGTTATTTCAATAAACTTATGTTTACTTGAAAATAATCTTAGTAGAGGATGCAAAAAAAATATTTAATTCATACTCACTGTGGTAGTGTTGCTGGCAGGGAACGTCTAATAATGGAATGAACTTGTCTGTAAACATCCAGTTTAGACATGCATCGGCAGGAAGTGTGATTGGCAAAACTGACTGTTATTGGCTTGGGGCCTTGAGAGAGTGGCACTGTAATTTCAAATAACTACAAAGAAGGGACAAAAAGAAGAAAAAATTATGTAGATGCTATAAAGCACTTTTATGGTAAATATTGGAGTCCGAAAAAGAGTGAGAATTGCTCTATGTAAGTAGCGTCACATAACATATGCAGGACACTAAGCTTTCTATGATTACAAAGTAAAAACTGTCTTGCTCCTAACCAGTATCGTCTATCACAGTAATACATACTCCATGTGGGTATCTTACGTCACCAGTTATGAAGCGTATTAGAATTAGGATAACCAACCACTGATTACAGAGCAGAGATGTGACAGACCAATGTGTTAAAAAAACAAACTGTTTCAGAGTTATAGATGCTTTGATATGAACATTTAAAATACTCCAGGGATTTAAAAAGTGTCACACACAGAAACATCTTTGTGATTTAAGAGCAAAGCTATTGGCTGGACAACCCAGAAATTCTTGGTTGTCTTACTTTAAATAAACTGAATACATAGATATAAATTATACAGATGTAAAGATAATTTTCATTAAATTTCTACTTCGATGTAGTTTTACATTTCTCAGATCTTATAAATGGATTATGTTTAAAAGAAAAGAAAACACATTTATAATTTAATAGATAAAGCCACGTTTCTGCTATCTTGACAAAGACATTATGAAAATAATAAGCTTAAAATAAGGTAGAGCATTTTACACAATTCTGAATTACAGTCAAGATTTAGTTTAACTCGTCTCCTGAATGCCTTATTTACAGCGAAGAACTTTATTTGTTCTCTTTCTTCTCCAAAACAATGTTTTAAGTTAAATATACAAACACACCATTGACTAAGTAAAACTAAGTAGATTTAAATTCCTAGGGTTCTTAAACTCTAAATTATTACTAGTAAAAAGATCAACTTGTAGTCATTCAACTATAATTGATCCACGTATTACTTGGTGTCTTTACGACAATCTGAGCAGTGGTAAAAAAAGATGGCAAACTTCAAAGGCTTGTGACTTGGGCCTTGCTGAAATTTCATGCCATCAGCTAAAGACCACTGAAAATATTTACGGGATAGGATTAGTTGCCAATTTTGTCCACACCAACAAGGAGACTTTTAAAATGAATTCTGAATAATGGAATACAGAAATATCTAAATTATAAAATGCACACAGTCTTCATTCAAGATGTATTCCTTACATATTCATTTAAAAATTTAGCTACTTTCTTAGGATAAGAACAATATACTTTAGAAGAAATAGGTACAGGGTTACACCCAGACAAGAGGCTTTCATTAGCTCTCCCATTCATAAGTAGCATAAATTTGGAAAATTTATTTAACTTCTTCAAGCTGTAATTTTCTTTGATAATCAGTAAACTGAGGACAACATTTGACTCATTATTCTTGGAACTGTTATAAAGATTATATAAGCTAAATGAAGTTATTATTTGCATAAATTCTCAAGATTTTAAGTATTCTTCACAATATTGCCTGTTCTGCATGGATAACTTCACCATGTGACCTCAGCATATGCCACTGTTATGATTTTGACCAGTTTCTTCTCTAAGAAGAAATTCGTTTATACAGGTTGGATGAAATCTTTGATTAGGTGAAATGTTGCGATGACAGTAATTCTTTGCACTATATATGCCTATTTTAAGAGAGAATTCTGCAGTGTCTTCATAAGCTACAATTTTTCTATCTCTTAAACACCTATGGGATCTACATTAAGAACTAGCACTATAGAAGACATAAAGTGGTTTTTAAAAGAAGCAATTTTTAATAAATTTATACATTTACTTATTTAATTTTTATATTTGTATAATTCATAATTCGCTTATTTAAGCCCTGTAATAATGTAGGTGGTAGGGAGGTATACCTAAGAATTTATGTCTAGTAGGCAGTCATATATATGTATCTAGAGTTTAGGAGACCCACTGAAAACTCACTAATATTTAAGCTGTAACTGAAGACTTGGACATTGATGAGATTACTTGATGAGCACTCTAAATGAAAAGAGGAAAATGTCTAAGAATAGAAACCTGGGCACAAGAACATCTATGAGGTGGTAAGAACTAGTGAATATGTCTGGGAAGAAGCAGAACCATGATGGAGCATCAGGAGGGGAGACTGTCAGACCAAGGGGTGCCAGAGAAAGAGGGGAGAGTTTCAAACAGGTGTGTGTGGTTACAGGGCCATGTTTCTGGAAAATCAAATATAACAAGAATTGAGAGGAGATAACCAGCACCCGGTATGGTTCCAAGGGCTGTGGCAGGACAGGGGCTGTAGGAAGGAAGGAGCGGTGGGGATGGAGGGACAAGAAGAGGTGGTCCATGTGACTAGAGGGAAAGGGCTCCAGTGGCTCTGGCCAGCCGAAACATTTTTGCTTATACACACAATGTTTGTAATCTGATATGCTGGATGTGTGTCTCCTCCAAATCTCATGTTGAAGTGTGATTCCCAATGTTGGAGGTGGAACTTGGTGAGAGATGAATGGGTTATGGGACCAGATCCCTCATGAATGGCTTAGCACCATCCTCTTGGTAAGGAGTGAGATTTTGCTGTTAGTTCATGCCAGAGATGGTTGTTTGAAGGAGTCTGGGACCTCTCCCTTCCCTCTCTTGCTTGTGCTTTGGCCATGTGACACACCAGCGCCCCCTTCCACCAAGATTTCAAGTTTCCTGAGGCATCACCAGAAGCTGAGCAAGTGCCAGCACCATGCTTCCTGTACAGTCTGCAGAAGAACCATAAGCCAATTAAACCTATCTTCTTTATAAATTGCCCAGTCTCAGATATCCTTTTATAGCAATTCAAAAACAAAGTAATAAGTAAGCACTGCAGAATTTGGCACTGTCTCCAGTGAAACAAGACAGGATAGAGCCTGATGGTGAAGGTAAGGCACTATTTGAGATAACTAACAAAAGAGTTTATGTTTTCCCACCCCTAACCCTTTGCAGAATGATTCCTGCTCCCACTGATGGCTACTCTTCCAGATTCCACCCCAGTCTGTTTTCCAAACAGTAGACAGATTGCAGTGAGCAAGATCAGTGATTATGGAGAAACTTCATCCATGCCTGGGTGGAAAATATTCACACATCAGGATCCACCCATGGGTACCAAGCATGAATTCCAGAACGGCGGCTTTGAAGAATGTTCTGGTGAGATGAAGAATAGTTAATTCACATTAAGAAAGCATCTTCCTGGAAAATTAAGTGTGGCTCTATGCTTTCAAAGGTTGCAAGAAACGTGTTTCTTATACACTGACTAAAAGGATAAGAAGGCAGATAAAATTGCACTAAAACCAAATCACTGTTTAGAGAAAACTGTCTTTTCCTCTAAGTTGAAGACTTGTATAAGTAGTAAAATGGAAGTACAGTTGGAGAGAAAATTTTGTTGCAGTAAATTTTTCTTTATTTCCTAAAGGAAATAAAGGAAATCAAAAAACAAAATAAAGGAATAAAGAAAATCAAAATCTTAATAACTGAAGTCTCATTTCTCTTTTGTGTGTCTAAGTAGCAATTGGTAGGCTGAATTCAGTTAATTTTATCTAAAGGAACAGAGACTGGAAAATTTTTTTCTTCTCTTGAAACACATCTTGTGTTCCCAAATTTTGACCTTCTACTTGATGACACCACCATGAAAAAAATTTAACTGTCCAGAGAAAGATACCTCTGATAATATTAAAAGTAGAAAGAGTCTTGATAGTTGAGTTTTATTCATTTACCAACTTCAGGAAAATTAGTAACATCTACTGGGAGAACGCCGTCTGGGTGTGTATTAAGACATAATTGTATCTAAACTAGCTCTTGTCACATACTAAAGAAGCCTCTTTAATTTTTCAAATTCTTTCTGTACTGGTCTCATGTGTGTATACTGATTTACTTTTATTTATCATTTCGATAAATTTTGATATATCACTTTATAATCATTTAGAAATGATTACAGTTTCTACTGCCTTTTCAGTAAATATAGTAAATTCTATTTTGTTGTTGTTGTTTACAGAACCCCTTTGTGAATTCTACATAGCTATATTTAATCCCTGTGTTACTAAGAATGTCCATAAGCTTTTTTCCTAAATAGATAGTATGTGCTAGGAAATATACATTTTTTGAACTGAAAAAATAATAATTAGAAATGCGTTATACACTCCTATGTTCCCATACCAAAATAAATACATATTGTTTTCAAATCACTGGCAACTTCATGTCTCCCCTAAATACGTAAGAATAAACAAGAGCTTAGTCTTGAGATGCACCCTTTAATCAGAGTCGTGGATGTGCAATTTACTATTTCTGTGACTTGGAAAAATTACCTAACTTCCCTAAGCCTCCATTTCATTATCTATAAAACGGGTAAAAATAATGGTGATTTCAGTGTAGTGTTTGGATTTCTCTTCCTCCTCTTCTTCCTCTTTTCCTTTATCATTCATATCAGCCAAGATTGAGTTACATTTTTGTTAAAAAGAATTCCAGATTTTATAATTTCTATTTACATAGAAATTATAATTTCTGGAATTTTCTATTTCTGAAATAGAAGTTTTATAATTTCTATTTATAATCTTTTCTTGTTTAGTTTTCAATAACTATTTATTGAGTACCTACATGATACTGAGCTCTGTGCTATTATCTCAGGATAACAGTCATCAATAATGACCTTGCCCCTGTGCAGCTGATCAGAAACCTAACAGTGAGGGCCAGGAGTGGTGGCTCATGCCTGTAATCCCAGCACTTTGGGAGGCCGAGGTGGGCTGATCACTTGCAGTCAGGAATTCAAGACCAGCCTGACCAACTTGGTGAAACCCTGTTTCTACTAAAAAAGAAACCTCACAGTGAGGGTGAATGAGAAAAAATATACACACCGAGAGAGAGAGAGATACTATGGTAAAATTTCTCAAATACCAAGTAGTTTACCATAAACACTGAAGTTTAACTTCGTATGCAATTTGTTCTTTCCATTAAATAATGATCTGAACTAACCCAGTACCTAGAATTTCTCTCAAAAGAGTTTAGATCTAGCCAAACATATCAATGTTGGAAACAGT